TTTTTTAGTAAGCTATTTGTACGTACCTATAACAGTGAGTATTTTTAGTAAGCTAGTTGTACGTACCTATAACAGTGAGTTTTTTTAGTAAGCTAGTTGTACGTACCTATAACAATGAGTTTTTTAGTAAGCTATTTATACGTACCTATAACAGTGAGTTTTTTTAGTAAGCTATTTGTACGTACCTATAACAGTGAGTTTTTTTAGTAAGCTATTTGTACGTACATATAACAGTGAGGTTTTTAGTAAGCTATTTGTACGTACCTATAACAGTGAGTTTTTTAGTAAGCTATTTGTACGTACATATAACAGTGAGGTTTTTAGTGAGCTATTTGTACGTACCTATAACAGTGAGTTTTGTAGTAAGCTATTTGTACGTTCCTATAACAGTGAGTTTTTTAGTAAGCTATTTGTACGTACCTCCAAAATCCACGTCGAAGTTGCGGTTCGGATCCACACCGTAACAGCCCCGGCGCTGGGGACTTCGGGTCTTCCGCCATAATCGATCCTGCAGAATGATAATTTTTGAGTGACTTATTTACTTAAGCGCAGCCATTCTTACCTCGATCTCAACAGTTTACAATTATGTCATTAAAAAGGAGGAGCTTCATTCGACATTCAATTCATTTGATGCATCCTGAAAGTTCCCGGGGTTAAGTTAATTTACGTTATGCAGAGTATGTAAGTGAGGATAACTTGTGGAATATCGTGGTTACTTACATCATGTACTGGTTCATTTGTTTAATACTTAAATTAAAAAAACGTACATCCACAATGACGATAAATTACCAGTTTTAAAACAAGAATTTAAATTTTTAGATTAATCTGCAACAAAGAATCATATTCAAGTATTTTGTAATTAAGTACATGTTTCAGCACAAGAACCTAAACTTCAAATAACCAGCATTTGTAACCAAGAATTAGATTCAAGTATAAAATAATCTGTTCTGACGTCACATCTACTTACATTAGTAAACGTGTACTCGTAACCGTCAGGATTGGCTGACGGTAGGAAAAACCAGTCGAACGTGTCCAACATGTATGTGACGTCATCGTCTAGGCCGTAGTTTCGTATGAACTATAACCACAGACAAAGCTAGGTGTTATAATATTAAACTTACTTTCAAACTGACATGAGTAATTTTCCACAATTTAACATAAGGTCTAACGGATGATAGCAATAACAAGGATTCCCCATGGCAGTGAAATATATTTCCATTTTTCTCTTGGATTCGATATTTTTGTAGTACTCTCAAAGAATAGTCAGTTTCACAAAATATATTTCATATCATTTCATGCTATTACCAGCAGTGTTGAAAATGTAAAAACTTGTGACGTTATCTTTTTTATTTTTTTATTTAATTATAATTTTAGATATTGCATTGTGACGTCATAAGGCGTTTTTTGCATGGTTAATCACAAACCTTGTCTATCGTCCAAACAGCCACAGCTGGTGATATCCACTCACGTGCGTGGATCCCCGCCTCGACCCAAATCACGGGCTTCGGGTTCGGAGAAGCTTTCCCTATCTTCGACGAGTAATAAAAGAATGTTTATCACGAGGAGTTCCGAACAGACTCATTCCAATAAAGGCAGGTCAGACAGGCAATTTTAAAAAGGCTTCGTGAAAAAAAAAGGAAAACCTAGTAACATGTGATAACATTTTGCCAAACACACATAAAAAAATACAAAATAATTCACACAAATTTTTGCATGCAATAATGTTTGGAAGGATTAGATTATGATAATTGAAATGATAACTCTTTGGTATCAGGCTAAGATATATAGGATACAAGTTCGATATATTGAGTTTTTATTTGTAATAACTAATAAACTACACTTTTAATCTGCAATGCAGGTAAAATAAATGTTTTAATTTTGGCCACGAACAGTATCTCTAATTGTTTAAGTCTACGTAATATAGCATACAGCCATAAACTGTGTATTGTACCTTGATGATTTTCATGTCTCGTCCTTCGTATGATTGTCCAATAGATTCCACGGTAGCCAGCTCTCCGAATTCGGATTCTATGGCTGTCAACCAAGAGTCAATCTAGTTTTAAGGGGGAAAAACATTTAAAATTTAAGTTTTGTTTCCATGATTTCCGAAAGAAATTATTCGCCTACGAGAGAAAATAAATTCAAACAATGTATCATGTGACTATTACCTTTTTTGTCAAACTGGATACAAAAGAAAAAACCAGAACCCTCAAACGAGACAAAGAAATCTTCAAGCAACATATTCAACAATTCATTTTAAAAAAAATGCTTTTAACTTAAAATTATAAAATCGTTAGTGATTAATAGGCGAGTTCGTTTGAAAAAGAAACTCACCTCACTATGACGTGAAAATCTGCCGACAATTTCACCAGACGTCCTTGTGGAACCACTTCCGGTTTCGTATGGAGGACAATTGACACCAAACGCTTCACACATAAAATTGTAAGTGGCGGGACCTGTCTTTGACAACCGAGCATTAGCCATGTCCTCCAGCTCGTTCTGTATAGATCTAAATAAAGATCGGTACATCGTTAGTGTTTAGCAGAGAAAGAACTGATAATAGATTGGGTCCGGCTGGAAAATTGTGGAGGAGAGCAAGGGATCGTGTTGGAAAGTAAAGCTGTCCGAATGCCTTAAGCGCCCCATTGAACGAAGATGATTAAGTTAGTACAAGTAACATTGTTAATGATTACTAATATGCTGAATTAAGCAGTCATAAGTAATATATCCACACGAATTCTTTCCCCTCCCAATACAACCCCCCAATCTGCTCCAGTGTATTTCAGTATGCAGACATACATTTTCCTTCTGTAATATAATTCTATATCACCTCATGCGCCTAACTACCCTCCAAACATTATAATGTATTTAGAACCGTAAGACCCGCCCTCTAACCCCACACACGACCAATCATTTGCCCCGACTCTCTTATCTTCACGTCACATACTCTATACATCGTACAATGTAACATCGGTACTTCAGATCGCATTTATTTCCTTTGATTTGTTTCCGTCATAAGCATTTTTTATGTAATTCGTGTTGTCGTATATGTGTCTTTAAACCCTATCAGATAATGGCATTGTCACTGACTTAAAAAAAATGAAAATTTACTTACGACTGAATATCGTCCATGGCAACTCGTGTTGATAGACCCGCCTTTTTCATCAATCCTTTCACATACGACCTTGACCTCGGAGGCACCCGGATGTCTACTTCACGATCCAGAACAGGAAATGTCCAGAAGTCGAGCTGAAGTGAGAACGATTACTTGGATCATGATGATGCCTTTGTGAATTTCTTCTCCTTTCAACTTCATTTCACTCCAACCGTTTGTATGATCAATATGAAAGGCAATATAGCTCTATGAACGCGAACAGCTCTCATACATGGATATTGCATTCAATGATTTGTGCCCAACTTTTAGCCATCGACCGAGTGGCGGATGGGGAAGCTGTCCAATGTTTAATTTATCATCGAAGTATGAATTGACAAATAAATCAATTGCGGTAATACAAACGTGACACCAACACTGTTCATGATGCTGTAGACGCACCGTCAATTTGGGTCGATAGACAATAAATGTATGCACGTCCCGAAACTAATCTTAACGATCACAAAGTTACATTAGAAAATAAGTGTTTGATTTTCTTTTTATCTTTCAGACGAAATAGGTTAACAATAATATAGATATAACGACGTTCTGTCTGTCTGTCTGATATCATTAGTGTATCGAATGCTTGTCTGTCTCTGTTTTTCACAAGCTTTTTTTTTGACAAGAGAACGCTCTGTAATATCTTATTTAAGGACTTTCTAATTGATAAAGTTATGAAGTGATGACTCAATGTAAATTTAATAGATGACAAGGCCTCATAAAGTAGCCATATTAGAAAAATATTCCTTATATGAAAAGCATTTTTCTGCAAAAAGGTTCATAACTATGTTATGCATTAGTCTGATACATTTCAATTGTTAGCCGAAAGAAAAACGTGTGACACGGGAGATAACTCGTACGTTTCGATTGACATTTTTGAGAGCACGTCATCCACAATAATTGAGGAGTTACATTCTATCTACGTCGATTAAAAAGGATATATATTCCATAGGATGTTTATAAAATTCTGTTCTCTATATTGGTCTATTCCTTTCTTTAATTCAGTATTTTGTTTATAACGCCTTCACTACAAATAGCGTAAATCGAATTTTCAGTAGAAAAAAAGTTATATGAGTGAATTGGCGAAAGGCAAATTAAAAGCATACACAGAGAATAACACATTGTTCGATCATCGCTGTATATAAAATTATTCCGAACGGCTCGTGTACAGTAACATGTAGGTACCTTTAGGTTTCCGTTGTCATGGAGATTTCTTAGAAACTCAACCTGGCGGGTACTGGTGGGATGGACCCGCAGAAGCTGGTGCCTGACATCAGGAAAAAAAACAAATATTAAAATGTACACAACATCTATAAACAGAATCGTATGGATTAGAAAATAAGTATGGGGAATGTTGATAATTTGCAGGGTGCCAACAGGTATTTTCAAGTTACAGAAACAGTTTCGGAAGGTTCTCAATTTTTTTTTTCGGATAATGAAACGTTGTTCGAGGCAGAATATTATAACAGAGACTTGCACATTTATTTCCCAGGAAAATGATAAACTAATCTGAAAACAACCTAGCTACAATTTGATGACCTTTAGTATTTACATATTTTATCCGTGACCTTTAATATTTTGATACTGTATTCGTGACATTTAATCATTCAATATAGTACTCGTGACCTTTAGTCTGTACATTTTGTATTTGTGTATATATATACATATAGCACTATCTGTGACCTTCACTTTATGCGTACTGTATTTATGACCCTCAGTTTTTACATATTGTATCCATGACCTTCATCTTTTTAGAGACTGTATTTATGACCTTCAGTATTCAAATATTGTATCCGTGACCTTTAGAATTTGCATATTGTATCCGTGACCTTTCGCATTCTCATATTGTATCCGTGACCTTTTATTATTTGCATACTACTTCAGTGACCTTTAGTATTTACATATTGTATCCGTGACCTTTAGTATTTACATATTGTTTCCGTGACTTTTAGTATTTGCATATTGTATCCGTGACTTTTTAGTATTTGCATATTGTATCCGTGACCTTTAGTATTTACATATTGTATCCGTGATCTTTTAAGTATTTACATATTGTATTTATAACCTTTATTTACATACAGTTGTCATGATCCTGCAGTAGAAAAGGAGGAGGATATTACCCTAACATATGGCATGATATCACATTAAAGCACCCTCTATAGGTAGAACAGCGGAATCACAAAGATATTATATAACACTTTTAAATCGTTGTACCATGTTACCTTGGTTACGAGAGAAGGTATTAATGAGACCGTTCTCATGCTCAAAGTCAGATTTTGTGCTCAAGCCTTTCTTATTTTAGTGATAAATTAATACAAAATTACATTTTGTCAATGATTTGGATGAATTAGGGAGAGACTTAGATGAATATCGTTTTCGATGATTAAACGTGATTTTTTGGCCGTGTACCATGATTTTAAGCCAGCGGCAAGAAAGTTGGTTTGGGCACAGAATCCATGCTTGAGCACGAGAACGGTTTCATGAATACGGACCCTGGTGTTCCACAGCATATTGTTATTTGTATCCTTCAAGTATGTATGATCACTACTGTCTCTGTCTCTCTACATTGAGTTTTACGCATTTTTCAACATCATGGCGCTCTCCCATGTTAAACAGAAGACATGTTTGAAATGAACTGTGTTGCATACCATCATAAATATTAAAATGAATCCTTACATTTTTGTTCAAAACAAAAAAGACAATAAATTAGACAATGCATTATTTTATCATTCTTTGTAGTAGTCTCATCAGGTTTAAAATGCATTCTGAACAAGCTGTTTAACAAAGTGACGAAACAGCCAACAGGATCGTGGTTTCTGTGTCAATCGGAAATTCGTTAATTTCCGTAATAATTTTTATTTGCCGTCACGTGATGATTGGCCCTCGAATACAGAAACAGTTTGACGGAAAGGCCCGAAGACTTTCGATCATGGAAACATTGATGTGTAATGGTTCTTGCTCTTATTTCATTATTACATCAATTTTGGTTGGTAGGCTTCTCTAATGATTGTACAAAGTAGACACACCGTCATACCTGTGTAATTGATACACTGTAAAATATTATAAATATAAAATCGTTTGAAGGAGAAAAAGCAGAAACATCATAATTACTTACCCATCGTATCGGGTCCCGTCTATTTGACCAATGGTCAAAAAAGCCAAACTGACCGCACAGATGACAGTGCTGAATACAAACATCTTAGTCAGACGATCACAATGACCACTACTGTTGTCTGTCCAGTCCTTTTGTACCCCCACTACGGTAAGTAGTCCCTATAACACTTATCATTAACACATGGTCCAATTCCGCCGACACGAACACGCAGTTAAATTTCGTCATAACTGACATCAAAGGTGTTCGAAATCAAAATGTGGTCAGTCTCCCACGATGTCCTGACATCAATTGTGTGCGTTTAATTTAATTTTCAAAAGTTTGTCAATTTTTGTTTATACTCAAACAAAGGTTGTTTTGTTTTGTTTCCGCGATATACCCAAGTAAAATGGCATGGTAAATTTTGATTCTGCAGCATTGAGCACGTCCAGAGCAATGAGTGTATAATTTATGATCGTTTGGTGATACGACAATATTGTACAGGCTGTAAACTAGTTATGGCTCCATGTGTTGAATCTATAAAACCATTATGCTAATTTCACACAAAAAGTACACGAATAAAAATGTGGTTCACTTTTGAGGTAATGACATGAAAGGCCGTTTTGATCCTCTTTTAATTGAGCACTTCCATATATAAAGATAAATGGTGGAGAGGTTGTATATCGAGTAGAAAATGCATGACACCGGGTTATGTGAAGAAGTTGAACAAAATGATAGATTGAACTTACATACAAACTATCACTAAATATATTTACATTTTTACAAGTTCTTCTATAAGCACAAACATAAGAAATTGCTTTCGTTTAAGGGTTGAACGGCATTTTTGTTTATTTCATACTAGTATGAACGCAACATGTAATTTATAAAATCCCGTTCAATCTTTATATAAAATTTGCTTTTCTTTTATCTTTTATTTCAAATTCATGTTCATACCAATGATATCAACCAATCAGGAACGAAGATACGTGTATTACTTTCGATACTTAAGAGCTAGGCTAGGAGTTATTGGACAAGCTGGCCCCTGTATCGCGAAAGTTCTTTAATTTGAGAAAAATTCGAAAACTGACTTTTCTCAAAGGAAAGCATTACTAAAGTTTAAGGAAATGAGCTTTCTTAAGATCTTTGCTTAACTCCAATTGAGCGTTCTTATGACAAACCTAAAAATGAGAAATGTCTTCAACTTAAATTAATTGTTTTCCTAGTTTAGCGTGGAAAGAAAGAAAAATACGATAATTTTTTAAAGAAAGTTCAAGAAATTTGGACCAGAGAAGAAGGGAGAATGTGTTTCAAAGGTTTATAAGAGGATTAACAATCACCTCAGTGTACCGACGGTGTACATGTACTGTACATTGCATCATCCCGTTCCGTGTTTTATACACAATATAAGAGGGCAATGACTCGCGAGAGTGCGTTGCTTTCAAACAATAAGGACGAATGAGAGAGAACGGGGGATGGAGGGGAACTAACAAACAGTTCATGACCTGTAGCATTCCTCCCAAACGGCGATTAACGTCTCTTACTCTCCTGTATATCGCAAACAATCTCCTGGTAGAACAACGTAGCAGAGTCAGTAGCCAAAACATGATTCTACTTTACAGAGTCGGTAACAAATACATCATCATCCAATGGCCCTTTCGTGGACCTTTCGGCTGCTGTCGTCTTCCAGTACCTGGACGAACGCCGTTTTAACTTATGTTTTAACTGATGTTTTAACTGACCAAGACACAATGGTATTCATGTACTTGGTCGCAAAAACATGGTTTTCGTCAGCGTTGTATCTGTCACGTGGGGCTTATAATACTACAAATACATGTAATTAAGGAATATCCCTTATAATTTGACTCAAAAAGACAGTCAACACTTTTAAATTCATAACAAATGAATATTTATTAATGTCTGATAAAAATAAATTATTTTGCATAAAACACA